GAGAAGAAACACTGGCTGACATGTAATTTGCATGTCACTTACAGGCCTTTCTCTAAGTCCAGAAGGTGCCACAGTTCTTCAGATCGACCCTTCCCCTTGGACCTCTTCACTTCAGCTGCGGCGTTTGGAAGGAACTCAGGGAGACTGTGTCCGCGGGGCCTGCCCGTCCTCTCTCCCTTGCGTGTCTCCTGACGCCCGCCCTGGGGCCACGGGCCCAGGAAGTCTGCCTCGGGCCTGATCCCAGTTTTCCACTGAGCGTAAAAGCACATTGCCCGTGAGGGAGGCTCTGCAGGTGGTGAGTGAATGGACATTTTTTATTTTAATAGTCATGTATTCATTTTTCTGCTGTTTGGAATTTATGGCTAGGGGTGCTGGCTTCCCATTTATAGCGGTGATATAAAGTTTCCCTTTAAACTAAATTTAAGTTTTTAAAAAACGAGTCCGTGGAAATAAAAATAGTAAGTAAATAACAAAAGAGGCGGGGTGTCGACGTGGCCAAACCAGGAACGAGATGACTGAGATTCTAGAAACACTGAGTGAAGGGAAGCGTCTCCTGCCGCCGCGTCAACCTGACACCACGTGGCTTCGGTGGACGTGAAGGCCAAGGGGACCTGAGCTGGGTGGCGGGAAGACACGTTCACCCCACCCCACCGCCTGTGTCTGTCTCCGAGACACCCAGCCCAGCACTGCAGCTCCTCCCAGAATCCCACGGGCCCAGCAGTGATGCTCAGAACCCAGAATCTTCCAAAGGAACATGGCCTGCGTCCAGGGAGACCTCCCAGACAGGAAGTCACGTGCTCCCAGCTAGACCACCCACTAACGTGGAAATCAGCCCTTTCTCCATACATAGACGCCTGCAAGGTAATTAATATCCCAGCCATTTAGCTCGGCTGTTATACCCTCACCGTTAATAAGCTAGCTAAGAGCTCCGCTTGAAATTAATAACTTGCAAATGACCCAAGAGCCCTGGTTTCATACCTTCTTTTTTTAAAACAACAAAAAGCCCCACAGAATTTAAATAGAAAAGCAATTTTCATTTATGAGCCAGTATCATTATTCATAACTGGAGAATTGTACAGAGTAAAAAGCCTTTTCCACTTAATTAGTATCGTGAACATCATAGAAAAGGGGGGCCATAGCTAGCACGAGGGGGGGAGGGGCAGGGAGTGTACCCCGGAAGGGAAAGTGCCTCCCGCGCAGCCACAGGTCTGCAGGAGGAGGGAGCCCTGTGTCTGGGCCTGTGTTGCCGCTAGAGAAGCGGTGCTGGCGGTCACGTCGGGCGGGGACTGAGGCGGGCAAGGGGCACGTATGTCACCCCCATGTCTGCACGACACAAGCGTGAGTCTAATCTTGAGCTGCGAGGGAAGATGGGAGAGCACAGAGCAGCGACCGGGGAAGCAGAGGGGAGAAGAGGGTTTCCAGGACAGGAGGGAGCATTGAGGCAGGAGGGGGGCGAGGAGAGGCCTGGCTGTGCCCCTGCCACGCGGGGCCCTGTGGCTCCCTGCCCTCCAGACTCCTCCTCCGCGCCGGCCACCCGGCACGTGACCTCGCATGTGGAGCCTCACAAAATAACTCTTAATTTTGTGCAGGTGAGAGGCCAGGCTCGCGGACGTAGCGGGACTCGCCTGGGGTCACCCCATCAGTGAGCGGCAGGGCTGCCGGGCCCCCGCAGGCCCTCTGATTGCACCCCAGGCTGAGCCGCGGGGCCACCAGCCCCTCCTGTGTGCACAGCTGTCTCCTGGGGCTCGCGGTCTCCCCGCCTCTCCTTTCAACATCCTGGCATCCCGCAAGAGTAGCCCTCGTCCTCACGCTTCCCAGAGCTGGAAACTGAGGCTCAGACGAGTGGAGGGTCAGTCCCGATCAGGGCCTGGCGGGGCCTTGCACCCAGGCCTCAGACTCCACCCGGCGCTGGCCTCACGCTGTGGCATGAACCCCGGGCCGGTGGATGGTTCCACCCAGTCACACTGAGTGCAGCTGAGCTCCCCATGGGGTCCTCCCCAGGGCAGGAGGAAGGAAGACCCCTTTTCTTGGAATCTAGAACAACCCACGTTTTCGGTGGAAATTGCCTCCTGATCTAAATAATAAAGCTACACTTTAAAATCCCTTCTGAACCCCAGTTTCCCCCATTCAGAACCTGGGCTTGCTTCCCCCACCTGCCTCTGAGGTCAGAATCAGCTGTGAAACGCTGTAAAAAGCCTTGAAACTGCAGAGGGCGCTGCCGAGCCAAGGAAGCTCTTCTGGGCCCAGGGCAACCTTAGAGGGCACCGCCAATGCAACAGCCCCCTCACATCACCTCCTGGCAGAGGGGGGGCCAGATGGTCATTGCTCTCTCCAGAGAGGTAAACTGAGGCCTGGCAAGGTAAATGACTCACTCAGGGACACGTGACTGATTAGCAAGGATCTGGGGCTAGACATCAAAACCCAGAAGGGCTGGGGTGAGCCAGGCCAACTGGGGTTAAGTGTCTTGTATACACGCCCCCTCTCCGCCCCGCCACCCCTGGCGGAATTAAGAATGCACGAGGCGAGGGGGGCTGGCTAGACAATTACCCTGTCGCTGGCTCGCACTCCTAATTTCTCCCTCCTTGTCCTTGGATACAATTGGGAATCTCTTTTATTACTCCCCTTCTCCAACTGGCACGGTTTCCACGCCTCCCCACGTGACTTCCCTTCTCCCCAGATTTCTCAGTCACAGCCCTCAGTCCACCGAAGCCTGACAAATCCTTTCTGCAAACGTGTATGTCTCAGGCTCAGAATAACCTTCCAAAATCAAACAAAAACCTTATAAAGCGATTCCCCTGAAAGGGTCTGTTCGCAGCAGCACCTCCAGAGTCTGCTTTCTCCCTAAATCACAAACACAGCTCGGACCAAAGCCACGACAGGGGCAGCCCTTGACTCCAAAGAGCCCAGGCCAAACCCGAATAGTAGACTCCCCCCTGGGATGTGTTGGGGTCAAGAAAGGAAGACCTCTCTGCTCTCTTGTGCAGACAGAGCAACCATCTTATGGTCATTGTCAATGTAAATAATCACCACCTGTTTTATGCCAGCCCTGCTCTGAGCACCTTGCATTTATTAGCTCATTCAGTCCTCACGCCAACTCTAAGGGACAGGCATTACTGGCAAGGCAATGCCAGTAATGTGGAGACACTTGAAAAGACTGAGACCATCTGACAACCCAAGACCTGCATCCTCTCATGACAACGATGATTAGGGCAGGAAGATGGCTGCCTCTGTAGGTGCAACATGCACACCCCTGTTTGCCACAGTCCCCACCACTCTCTATTGCCTACATTCTAGCTCATTGAAGTGACTTGCTCCACCCCTGAGTTTTCAACCCCTGCACCAAGCTGCCTCTCCCCTTGGACTTCTACCTTCTTCTGCTTCTTCAGGAATCAGGATCTGGTACCTACATAAATCTCCACCATCACCCTTCTTTCAGCTCGACTCCTCCAGGAAGCCTTCCTTGTTTCATCATCAACTCTTCAATGCCTGAGCTGAGTCACCTGGTCCTAACCCACCTGTAACATGAGAGACTGGGGCCCAGAGAGCCATGAAACCTTCTTGCCCCCTTGCTCGGTCATCAAGACCTACAGGTCCCCACACCCATTCCTATCCTGGGCAGTAGGACTGGTGTTGATCTTGTGCCCATTTTATCGAGGAAATAACTGAGATAAGATGCTGGGTCTCCCGACAAGGTCTTGGGACCACAGCCAGGCTGTTTCCTGACTCTTCCTTTGATTATTGAGCTCTGGGTCCACTGTCCCCACTGACATTCCCCCCACCCCGCAATATTCAGTGCCTCCATTCTGCCTTCTGCAGTTCACACCGGCCCAGCAGCTCTCCTTCCCGGCGGGGCCGAGGCAGGGCCTGGTGCTGTCCCTCATTTCCCAGCCGAGTAAGGATCATCACAGAGAAGCTAACAACCCACGGTCAGCGCCTGAGCCAGACCCCTGTGTTATCTGTTCCCCGCCCCCCTGCAATGCCCTCCACGGAAGGCATAAAGGGGCTCTGAGATGCCCCAGGACCATTTCCTTGGCGGAGACCCCGCTCTGGGTCCCTGAGCATCTGGGAGACAGCCCCTTTCCTGGGTGGGCAGTGGATTCTGGGACCACCCAGTCATTTTCTCAGTCTTTGACATAGAGGTCCTGACAGATCCCTGAGATGCCCTTCCCCTGTCTCCCCAGCACCCCGCCTTCCTCAGGGCACCCCAGGGCTGCCCGTACAGCAGGGCAGGTTGCACCTGCTCCACACTGAGGTCCTAATTGTCACTCCCCAAGCATCGCGTGTGTCTCCCCTGGGGCAGCTGCCACTGCAGGGAGTGCTGCAGAGCGGGGAGCCTCTCCCACCCCTCCACCGTGCCCCCAACCCCAGGCCCCTGACTCACCCGAGCTGCTGGGGATGGACCTCGGGGACTGCAGAAAAGGTCCCCGTGCAGGGGAGATCCTGCTTGGCTGTAATTAAACTCCACCACTGTGCAGGCTGCAGACAAAAGGGAACCCATAATGGGATTAGAATTGTCATAAATTAAAATCATAAATTCAATAAACGCTTTATCGGCCTCCCTCTGGAAGTGGCTGGCCCAGAGCGACTGGCTTTGATAGGCGTAAAGGAAGGGCTCTGGGAAGACCGGTGGGGGCAGCCGGGCAGGCCGCATAGCAGGGGGGGCTCGGGTCCAGCTGCCAACCCAAGCCGATGGGGCCGATGGGTCAGGGGGCTCTTCTCTAGATAACGCTCCCTCCAAGGCAGACTCGCAATGAGAGGGCCCTAGTGCCAGCAGTGGCTCCCCATCACCCCTAGCTTAGCTCTTCACCAACTTTCTGCCTTAGAGTTGCTGAAACATCCTCCTGCCACCCACACATGGCCACCCATGAAGGAGCTTTGGCCCCAAACGTGCAGCGTGGTAGGACATAGTTGGACGTGCAAAGTTCTGAGTTTGAACATTGCAATGAGGGAAATAGACCCAGCAGGTAATTTCACGAAGAATCCATTATAATTGCAGAAAGGCCACCCAGGAGAAGTCCAGGGGACCCAACCTCGTTGCAGAGGGGGGCAATGAGAGATCTTTGTAAAGAACCTCATCTAATGGCTGGCTGCAGGATAAGCCCAGAGAAGAAGCTGAGGGGAGCATGAAGAGCTTTCAACATCCAGAAGAATGTGTGCAAAGGCCCTGGGGTGAGAGCAGTGGGGGCTTCTAATTTTGTGGAATCTGAAGTTTCTACCATCTGGGTGGGGTATGGGAGCTTTAAAAAGGAATACAAAATTGAAAATAGGCATGAAAAGGAATATTTATTTAGAATGAATTAATCAAGTGTCTAAAGTTTAGAATAAAATGTTTATTTAGATTAAAAAGCACTACAAATTATGCAATTTTATTTTTAAAGATTTATTTATTTTTATACAAGAGCTGGGGTATAGGCCAGAGGGGCGGGAGGGTGAGAGGATTCACCAGAGACAGAGTGGGGAACAGAACAGGCAGACTGACTGAAATACACTGCTGAGGGGAGCAGCGGGTGAGACAGGAGAGGTCTGCCGCGCCATGGGGGAATCTCCCTGTCCAGCCAGGAATTGAACCCGTGCTGCAGAGGCTGTGCACAGCTACACAGCACCACACTCAACCCACTGTGCCACCAGGGAGGCCCAATTATGCAATTTTAAAAGCTCACAAATACCACAAACATCACAAAATCTAAGGAAAATGTGTTTTTATTAACTCTATAATATTTTCTTCTTATATTTTTTAAAGATTTATTTATTTATGCATACAAGAGCTGGGATGCAGGCCAGAGGTGTGGGGGAATGAGAGGCTTCACCAGAGACAGAGTGGGGAGCAGAACAGGTGGATCTACTGAAATCCACTGCTGAGGGGAGCAGCAGGGAGACAGGAAAGGTCTGCTGCGCCATGTGGGTCACCTCCCTGGCCGGGGATTGAACTCATGCTGCAGTGGCTGGCGATAGCTTCATAGTGCTGAGACAACCTCTGGCGCCATCAGGGTGGCCCTCTGCTTACATTTTTGATGTGTGATCTTGGATTCCTTCTTCATGTATCAAAATTTTGTAATATTTTTGTAGTGAGAAGACAGAAGGATAACGCTCCCAGCATGCTCGAGGAAAATACATGTCCTTGGACACACACGTCCCCTGAAAACCGCGACATTGGGACAAGACTAGAGACATCCCTATCCTGCCTGGCCATCAAGCACCTCAGCCCAGAAAGTAGAGCAAAAAACTGGCAAAAACACAAACAACTTTCTTTACTAGTAGACAAAGCTCTTGTGGCCTCTCAGGGTCCCTGAGGTCCCCACCCTTCTCCCCCACTTGTTAAGCCCCCACCCCTAGCCCTCTGGGGTCTCCATCCTACCCTCCTGTCTCCTAAGCCAAGCCCGGAGTCATTGCTGGCGCTTATTAAGCCACTAATTAATTGAATTTTTCCCCCTCATTGCATGCTGTTAATTAGTTTCTTGTAGTAACAGAGACTATTATTCTTGGAAGTAATAACTTGGTCCTGGAGGCAGTTTTAATGTTACTTATAATTGCTGGGGGAGGCGGGGTCTTGTGCTCAGGTGGGCAGGGCTAGGGAAGGGAGAGAGAGTCAAGTCTATCTGATTCTCTCATCTGCACAATTATTTTTGGGTTTGTCTTTTTTTTTTTTTAAGATTTTTTTTTTTTAAATAGAGGCATGTTTTATTTCTTTCTTTTTTTGCTTGTTTGTTTTGTTTATACATGCACTGGGTACAGTCAGAAGCGCGGGAGGATGAGAGAATTCACCAGAGCCAGATTGGGAAGCAGAACAGGCAGAAGGACTGAAGTACACTGCAGAGGGGAGCAGCGGGCGGCAGGAGAGGTCTGCGCGCCATGTGGGACCCTCCTCTGGTGGCCGGGGAGCAGCCGGGGATCGAACCGGCGCCGCAGAGGCTGCGGGCAGCTTCGCAACCCAGCGCTCAACCGCTGCGCCACCGGGGAGGCCCTTGGGTTTGTCTTAATATTGTTCTGCCAATTCCAGATTTTCCCCAATAGAAAGCATTGTTATAATATAATAAAAGTACAACAATGTTTTAAGGCAGAGGAGGCCTTAGGAAAATTGTCTAGAAAGACTGTGCCTGGGAGAACGAAGTGACTGTGGGTTCAGGCTGGGGTCGGGGTGGGGGAACAGGGTGGAGGAGGGCCCCGCAGCCTCTGTTCCAGCCTGTCCTTTCTGTTCCCTCCCCAGAATGCACATCAAAACCAGGGTGCGACATCAGGCCTCTGACTCCCAGCCCAGGAATCTAACACTGAGCCACAACCCCAAAGCTGAGTCAAGTTGAGTCACGGAAAGAAAACAGATGAGTCATCCAGGAGCCAGAGGGAATGACGGGTAAGCTGCATCCAGAATTGCCATCTGAAATTAGCTCCTCTTGCCTCAGTTTCCCATAATCTCAGAACTCGTGTTCTAGTAAAAGAAATAAATCATGACTAAATAAACTGAAAATAAACCAACGGAGAAAATGGCAAGGGCAAAGAAACACGGTGCCCATCAGACTGGCAGGGCTTCCTGAGAAGACATTTAAGCTGAGGTGAGAAGGAAGAGGAGAAAACCAGGGGAACGAACAGCGTGTTCTGGGGAACAGGCCTGTGTTTGCTTGTGAGACAGGGCCCGGAGCCCTTCCCCCAGCTAGACCCCGCTTTGTCCTCAGAGCCGGCAAGAGGCTATCACTCACACCAATAAAAGCACCCGTTAACCTTGAGTGAGACCTCAATTAGCCACAGGTCTTAACTCCATCATTAACCCGGGTGTGGAAGGGGAGGGTGGCAGGGAACTGCATCTGATTTCCAGAATGACCTATGATGTTAAAAAGTAGCCAAGCAGAGGCTGAAACTCCTGACTATGCAGCAGGAATTCATTTTGCTCTTCCTCACTGTAAGGGCGGGACTGGACACGGTGCAGGTTTTCTGATCCAGCAGACCGGGTAAAGGAGGAATCAGAGTCCTTAGTGGCTTTTTGCAGGTCTTTTTGTTGGGATTACCCGGTACACAGCAGGCAGGGGTGCTGGGGGGCCGGGAGGCTGGCAGGCCTCCCAGCCCCCAGCAAATCCTCACTCTATCTGGGCTCTCTGGTGATCTCTGCTTCTGCTTCTTTTCTTCTCTCTTGGCTTCTCTTCGGCTTCTGCTGGCGTCCCCGTGACGCCGCCCTTAAAAGCCCAGTCTTAGCCCAGGTGAATCCCATCTACCTATGCCCACACCTTACTCTAGGTGCTGCCATCAGGCATGCATTCAGGACCGCAAGGATCCATCATCAGTCCTGATGGCGGGAGGGCAGAAAAGCCTGACATTTTTCCTTACCCTACACTCACTTTCCCTGAACAAGCCAGGCAGCTGCTTCCCATAGGGAGGGCCATCCTCTGTGGCCCCAGAGCCCCCCCATCCTTGGCAGCTGCTCCAGGGGACACTTGGTCAGAGCCTTTAGGGGCACTGTTGTCTGGTAAAAGCTAACAACCAATTCTTCGGGGGGAAACTCTCACGGGCAGTGTGAGGTAAGGACACAGTCAGGCTTTTACACCGCTGGCCTCTGTGGCTGTCACCCGCGGCCTTGAACGCAGGAGGCTCCTGGGCCAGGCGTGGGCGCGGGGCATGCATGCTGAGGGGGGACACCTGGAGTGCGGTGTGGGCATGCGCAGGTGGGCACACCTGAGCCTGGAGGCTGAGGCGCCAAGGGCGGCATCCCTCGGGCGGGAGAACAGCTACGGTGAAGCAGCGACGAGAAGACAAGCAACAGCTACGACAGGAAGAGGAGGCGATCATGAGAGAAAGAGTCAAGATTCACGCAGGAAGGGGGCCTCTGAGCCCCCGGCCTCCCTGCTTTGCCCACCTGCGGACTTGCCCCACAGCAACTGGTGTAGAAAAAACATTAAAGCCTGAAAAAGCCACCGAGGGCTCCAGGACTCTCCTTGGTGCATCTGCCCGAATAGACAGAGCACCCGCCCTGTGCCCGCCGGCACTACAGACAGCATCTGCCAACCTCCGAGGTGTCCGTACACCCACCCTGGCCAATTTTGGACTCCTACCCGCTCCGGCATCGCCCAAGGCGGAGTCGGGAAGACAGCCCAGCCGCGCCACAGCAGCTTCAGGTGAGTTTCCTCTTGTGCCTGGTGAAGGTTAAATGAGAGCAGAGGTGCACCCTCATCCAGGGAGGGTGGTGCTGACTCAGTGGGGGTTTCCTTCTCCAGCCCCGAGAAAGCACGGTGTCCTGGCGCGGGCTGGAAGTGTGGCCGGAGCACCCTGGGTGGAAGACCTTGTTGCAGCGTCTGGGCAAAGATGGGCAGGTGGGGGAGGGGTGGGCCAGGACAGAGAACGGAGGGAAGACTTCCAGCCCCCCTCCTCCGGCCGGTGCCCAGAACTGAGTGCCGCCTACTGGGAGCAGCAGCGGCGGGAGGGGACACGTTGCTCTGCCCGTGTTGCGCAGGACAACGTCCAGCCTTGACTGGTTGGCCCTGAATGCCCAGCCCTGTGCCCTGCAGGAAACAGCAGATGTCCAGTAAATATTTGCCCAGTGAGCGAATGAGTGAATGAGGGTCCTCTCCCGAGGGCGGGGGTCGCCTCCCCCCTTCTCATTCCACACACGTGCACAGAGGCAGCCTGGGGGGCGGGCGGGGCTCCGCGGTTGGGGCAGTGTCTGGCCTGCAGGCGGGTGTTTAGTGCTGGGTGTGAGCAGGGTCGAGACAGTCCATGATTCATTGCAGCAAATGCCCGGGAAATAAATGTCACATGGCCTGGCCCTTTCCACCTCAGCCTCTAATATCCTTTTCTCGAGGAGAGGCCTTATCACTCAGTGCCTGCGGTGACAGCTAACGAGTAAATCAGTGGCCTGGAGGTTGCTCCCTGGGGAAATTGGATGTGGCTTCCGGGGATGACCACTCTGCCAGGGTTGTGTGGGAGGAGGGGGTGGCACTGGGTCAGGAGTGGGGGCAGGGGTGGGGTATGGAGAAAAACTCCTTGTGCATCTTCCTGCTTCCCAAGAAGCACACCTGATGGGGGACCCCACCCCCAGGCTGCCCCCTACCTTCCTGAGACAGAACCAGCTCACTGGTAAAACAGACATGGCCACAGTTCAAAGGGAGCTCAAGAGGGTTCTCTGGGCTTTCCAGAGCCTGCCCTCCACCCCAGCCTCAAATCCTGGACCAGAATTCCCCCTCCTGGGCTGGAGGGGGTGGAGCCAAATCCATCCATTAACAATGCGCAGAGGTCACGTCTGCTTTCCCAACATCAACCCCGAATTCTTTACTATTTGCCGACCCACTACGCCCTGGATAAATGTGTCGGGGCAATAGATGAATAAATGAAGGCACGAAGAAAGGATTACAGAATGCAGCAGGCATGGGTGTGCGTTTTTCATCTATTTCCCTGCCGCCTTGTGCTCCTAATCTTCCCGAGGACGCACCACTTTTCATCAAGCGGGAACGTAATTCACTGGGTCACACCAATTTCTAGTCTCTTGCTTCAAGCACTGCTGGGTTTTGCTTTCTTTCCTCCTCCTGTCAAAATGACACTCCCCTGAAGTGCTCTTCCCCCTCCAGATGGTGGGCAGCAGAAGCCAGCCGACCCCTGTGTCCACTGACCTCCCGGCCAGCACGAAGTCTTCTCACGTCCCGGGAGGCCCCCAGGGAGTCGCTTTCGTGGTCAGAATTCCAGATGCCGGCCAGGTAAGGAGACACCCTGGGGGCACGCGGGCCTTTCCACGGACTTGAAACTCCGTGGAGGGAAGTTCTGGGGACGAAGGCCCACGGGACCTTGCTGAGAAACGAAGCCCTGAACTTGGAAGGATGAAAGGCCTGATCCGAGTTCTCCCCAAGGTCAGCAGGGTACAGGAGCACCAGCCCCACCACCTGCCACTCTGGCAAACCTTTCTCCTAATTATATCTGAATTATGCAAATCAATACCGATGTCGATATACGATTTCCTCTAACAAGTCAAGAACATGCAAGAAGTGAGGACCTGGGGAGATGGAAGCCCATCTAATTAGGAGTGAGCTTCTCTGTTTTTATCTTGACTGAGGGGATAAATGGTTGCCTGACAACCCCAGAGAAGAGGAGGTGAGGAGAACGAGCAGGGTAGAGGGCACACAGAAGGTGAAGATGGGGTGCGGGCTGGAGCGGGTGGGGAGACGGGAGCCTTGCTGAGAGCATGATGGGTAGAGCGCCCATCACAGAGCAAAGGTGATCTTTCTACTTAGCCATTTAAAATGTCCCAAAGGTAGAAGCGGGGAGAGCAAGCACCATCTCTAGCCCTGCAGCATACTAAGAAGGGAAGGGGAGGGAGAGGAGGGAAGTTCTAGCTGCCACACGTTGAACCTTTGCTGTCACCTGCTGCCCTCACCACTCTGAGTTAGGTACCCACGACCCATTTCTAGGAAGGAGGCAGTGGGGCCAGAGAAGCATCCTGCCAAGCTCCAAGGGCTGTCAGTGCAAGACTGGGACACAGACTCTTGTTGTCCCGCATGCCCACTGCCCCACTGAGTGCAACGGGGGTTCACGGGCAGAGCTGGGCAGGCGGAGCTGTCTGTGGGAGAGGAGACAGGATTCCTGTCTTGAAGCCATGGGGCCCTGGGCACAGGGATGCCTCCCTGTAGGCCCCTCCTGCTGAGAGAGAGCACTAGGGTGAAAAGGAAGCTCATCATCACAGGGGCTGGTTTAACACCATTTGGAGTTTATGCCCAATCTCTGTGTTATGGCATCACCCCAGCTAGAGACCAGAACATACCTGATTAGCTCTTCGTGTGTTGGATATTTTCCTCACTGAGTGCCTGGCATGAAGCCCCAAAACAGAGTGGGGAAGTGCCCGCTCGCGAGGCAGTCTCCCACATCCAGGCCCCAGCTCTGCCACTGCTAGGTGTCTGGCTTAGGACAAGTTTCTCCCCAACCCTGGGTTTTTCCATCTCCAAGATGGGACCACGGCCATGCTTGATACACAGCAGGAGCTTGATAAATATTAGCTATTGTGATTCTCAGAGCAGGGAAGCAGGCCTCAAGATGAATAAGACACCATATTTGCCTCCTAGTATAAGGAGAATAAGGAGAAGGGGGAGGAACAGAATCTTGGTGAGTCACTTATGGAGGTGAGTGAAAAGACTATGGAAGAACAAGAAGTAGTATTTAGTCTTGCCTAGCTCAGTACAGTGGGGAGGCTGGGGCAATCAGGGAAGGCTTCCAGGAGGTGATGACACAGGGCTGAATCATGACTAAGTAGTGCTTGCCAGGTGGACAAGAGAAGCAATGGTTTTTCAGGCAGAGGGCTCAGCCTATGCAAAGGCCTGGAGACACGCAGGATGTCTTCAGCAGTCAGCTGTAGGAGCTAAAGCTGGAAAGCAGGCAGGGTCTTGTCTTTCCAGAAGCTTGGAAGGCTGGATAAGAGGTTAGAATTTCATCCCAGAAATGCCAGAGAAAGGGACAAGATGAGCCTCGCGCTGTGGAAAGGTTGCCCTGATGTTCAGTGGTGGCTGGAGCAAAAAGGTGGAAGGATAAGGCAGGAGGTGGAATCCTGGAACCCGAACCCCAAGTTCCTAGCTCCCAGCCAGGCGCCTTTGTGGGAGCTGCAGTGGGAGCCAGAGCTCAGCGGGACCAGAGACATTATTAATCGCTCCACGCCGCCGCAGGCCATGGTCCATTTGCTGCTTTTCTTGGTCTGTTTTGAAACTGTGAAATGAGCCCCAGTCTTCAAGGCGGCCGTAATAACCATCCTGATTCTGACATTTAAATTACAGATGGCATTTTCAATTAAACAGGC